GGGATGATGACGACATTGGTACACAGACACCCCGAACAATATCTCCGCAAGAGCCGTTTTACTCGGTATTTACAGTACTTTCGTGATGGCGGACCATCTTATATGATGATGGTTGATGATGGTGGTGGATTGAGGCGCCAGGTAGTTGGTAGGAGGGGGGGCTGGCTAGTAGTAGTAGTAGTAGTAGTAGTAGTAGTAGTGGTGGTGGTGGTGGTAGCGGCAGTAGTAGTAGTAGTAGTAGTAGTAGTAGTAGTAAGGAGTAGTAGTAGTAGTAGTAGCAGTAGTAGTAGTAGTAGTAGTAGTAGTAAGTAGTAGTAGTAGTAGTAGTAGTAGTAGTAGTAGCAGTAGTAGTCAGTGGTAGTAGTAGTAGTAGTAGTAGTAGCAGCAGCAGCAGCAGCAGCAGCAGCAGTTGCTGTTGCTGTGGCGGTCGCTGTCGCTGTCGGTGCTGTTGCTGTTGTTGTTGTTGTTGCTTCTGGTGCCGTTGCTGCCATCGCTGTTGCTGTTGGTGGTGGTCGAGGTGGTGGTGGTGCTGCTGCTGCTGCTGCTGCTGCTGGTGCTGGTGTTGTTGTTGTTGTTCGTCGTCGTTCTAGCAGCAGCAGTACTGTTGACTTGAGCAGTACTATGTTCTTCAGCAGCAACAACCAACAAGAGGACCCAGGCATGTTGATACTACTAGCTTGTGTCGAATCAGCCCTGGGTCTTGCAATTTCTAGGCCGGGCCACCGTTTTCCGCTTGCACGAATTGCAATCAGCTGTACAGTTGGTGAACCCGTCCTACCTTAGAATTACGTCATTTTGCAATGGCTTGTTTCACCGACGTGTCACCACGGGCTTGCTCTTATTAGGAGGCGATGGAATTTGACGTTGAACAGCCGGAAGGCATCGACAAAAAGTCATGCGCATATTTGGCCGACTCGGGTTACCCGCGGTCTTTGCGGTCCTGGAACTCTCACCTTTGCAGTCCCCTCAGGCTTGCAACTTCTGGAGGACTTCCCCAAGGCAAAGCCCATGCGCTTGAAGGGTCAAGGGCTGCATCACCATCACATCCATGAAAGCTCGTGTAAATGCAGACAGAAAGGATCGACCTGATATAAAGATTTATGCATTCATGCATGCATGCAATGTATGTATGTATGTATGTATGTATGTATGTGTGAGTTGCTCGAAATGTTACTGCCCATGTGTGGCTGGTGAATCCTGCCGGCCCTTTCGCGACTGCCAGTCCTTGTCGGCTGAGTGCATACGCCCTCAGGCCCTTGTTCTACTCTGGTTTCCCCCATACCTCGCCTGTTTCGACGAGTGCGAGTTAAAAAAAAGTATGTATGTATGTATGTATGTATGTATGTAACGCATGCATGCATGTATGTATGTACGTGTACATATATATGTACACACATACACACATACAGATATATACATACATGCGTATCATACAACCATACATACATGCATACATACATGCATACATACACATACATACACATATGTATATATACATACGTACGTACATACATCCATACATCCATGCATGCATACATGCATGCATACATGCAGGCATACATGCAGGCATACATACATTCATACATTCATACATACATACACACATAAATGCATGCATACATACATACATACATACATACATACATACGTACATGCCTACATACCTACATACATACATACTTACATACATACGTACATACATACATACCTACCTACATACATACATACATACATACATACATGCACGTATGTAAATGGATATGTATATGTGTACGTGTACGAGTATGAACGCACTTTTTCTATGTATGTATTCATGCATGTATCCACCTGGTGAACTGCTAGGCTGGCTTGACCTTGGTTGATCGGCGCTCAGCTGTGTGTCGTTTGTTCCGCAAGTCTGGTGTACGATTTTCTTATGATTTTTGCAGTACAGAGCCCAGGCTGTTTGTGTTAAACATGTTGCGAATTGTTTTCCTGGTGGGACGTGTTGTCACGATGGATGATGGTGGGTCAGTTCTCCGGACTTGAACCAACTTATGTTTGCAGTCTCAGGATAGGAGGTGTGAAGCGCACAGTAGTTCGGGTGCCCAAGATGTGGTTGCCGCGAGAACCCCAGACCCCACGAAAACAGCACGGACCCAGTGCAGTACTGGCAAAGCAATCCGAAAGCGAAAGAGCAAGGACCCAGGCATACGGCGGATCTTCTTTTCTTCGTGATCGCACAGAGCCTCAGCCCGTACTCTGACGAACACATCAGCTCAAGGCTGGCATAGACTGTTGACAAGCCCCATCAGCTGCTGCTCACAAATCTCTGCCGCCATCCCGGCGCAGGGTGGGAGGGTGAGAAAGCAAGAAATGCTGTTTGAACTCACTGCCGCCACTCGAGCACGAAAGCACTCGACGCCGGCTCAAGCCAAAAAAATGACGCTCCCGCTTCGTGCTCAGCAAGTGGTCACCCCGCCGAGGATGTCAATTCATAATGCTGTTGGCGACGAAGATGGAATAACTATGATGATGATGATGATGGTGGTCATGATGATGATGCCGACGGTGGTAATTGAACCTCATCACAACCACCATCTCCACGATGGTGATGCTTTGTAGTTGTAACAACCATTCGACAAAGTGGATGTGCCACCCGAACGCTGCCACACACCGCCCTGCTGGGACCGGCACACCGTCGTCGGCACCAGGAAGAGTTGGCATCAGAGCCAAAACCACTAGAAAGATCATCAAGAATCAAGATGATTGTCCGTTACGACCATTGCCATCGTGAACATGATCATTCAAAAGCCGTATGCACGAGGTTACCACTTACCAAGACGGATGGTGCCGAACACGTTGCTGCTGTAACGTCAGGGCATGACGAGCTGAGAAAGGCTTGAAACAAGCATGCATGGTGCTCAAGCTGCGATGCTGGTGGTGTCGACGATCCGAATGCTAAATGCCGTGGAAGACAAAATCTTTCTAAAGGACATCTTGTGGCCCGATGAGCTTTCGCGACATTCGTTGTCCGACGGTTCGAGGGTGTGCTTTCCATCCCAAGGATGTGTCGGAAGCTCTTGTGGCAGACCTGAAGGCCCAACCCTGGTTAAGTGGAAGACGGTGTTCCTATAGCGGCCGGACGTAGCACCAGTAAGTCCTTGTCCCCGGTGCCATGCTCATGATTTTTTATTCCTTTCTTTGCAGGCGCAGCACGCCGCGGACACGCGTGCTGGGCACTCCGAGCAAAGCTACAGCCGAGATCTGCAGAGCGAGAGTTTGAGGTGTCCTGTGTGGCCGGTGACTGCCGCAGCACCGAGGTGCAGCCGGGTCAGTTGCTGCAAGTTCTTGCAACAAAAATCTCATCGCAGAGCTTCGCAATTGCCAGGCTTTGGCCCCACTGCGCGGCAACACAACTCTCGTCCTGGACAAGGCAGGGCTGCAGGAGTCGAAGCTTACGGCGCGCTTTGCACGCGTAGATTGGCAGCGGCCCATGTCCTCAGGGCACGGTCGACGCGCTGCACCACTCCTCAGAGAAGGCTCTCTTGGTTTTCTGCCAGGGCACCTCACTGAGGTGATCCGCTCACCCTAGGCGATGTTTGGCAGGTGCAGATGCTGAAGGCAGCTGCATCACTTCTCCAGCCGGACGGGTCACCAGCCCACAGCCGGAAGGAGCCCATTCAGTCAGAGCCCAGCCTCATGAAACCGAGGATTATCGTTTCGATATCCTTCCCGACGGCCACGCAAGCTTCTGCCCCAGCTAGCAAGGAGGAGCACGTGCAAAGCAGCAAAGCATCATCGCAGTGGAGCGAGGTGCTGCTTTTGCGAAGATTTGCTGAAGACCTTGGCTTGAGACTGCTTCAGCGGACCGTCAAAGTTGTTTGGCAGAAACGAGATGCAGAGCTCTCGGAAAGGTGGAACTATGCTTGATTCTGCTTGATAGCTTCAGGTTCGCGGTGAGGTCCGCTTGGTGTCACTTCTGGGAGGGCCGTGCTCCGAGCTGCCTTCGAGAAAGGACTCTTCCTACTTCGTCCCTGCGGGCGACAGGTGGGATGCTACCGATGCTGATGATGAGCCCAGAGCTCAGAGAGAAAAGAAGCCGAGCTCCGCCTCTCACAGCACCCATGGTGGGTTGTTGTTTGGGCTCAAGCCACGTTGGTCTAAGCTCTACACCTGCTTCGCAAGCAAGACTTCCTTGAGAAGTTTACTGAAACCCCTTCAACAAAATGGCGGCTCAGGAGGCTCCTTCCCAGGCTCTTTTGGAGAGTGGCGATGCGGCTTCCTATGGCGCAGCGGGGAGCGCCGGAAAGAAGATTTGGTCTTGGAAGTTCGGCTCCCCTGTGGCTGCTTTCGCTGAATGGACTTTGAGCGCACCTCTGGTCGCGGAATGCTTCGGCACGCTTTGCCTCGTCTTCACGGTGGGCTGCTTGGTGGCGGGACCTGCGCCACAGGCATGGGTGCCCACATCCATTGCCTTCGTTCTCATGGCCATGATCTACGCGACGGGTGCCATCTCCGGGGGAAATCTGAACCCGGCAGTGTCGCTGTCGTTGGCGATTTGCGGGAAACTGTCGTGGAGCAAGATGATGACCTACTGGATGGTCCAGCTAGTCGGAGGCTTCCTTGGTTCGGCTCTCTTCCGCCTGGTCTGCTCCCCCGGATACGTCATAGTCCCACCTATCAAGCCCTTCGGCGCTGGCTCCTGCTTCTCCGCAGAGCTCATCTACACCACCTTCCTGTGCTTCACGGTGCTCAGCTGTGCCGCATCCCGCCGAAACAATCCCAAGGACGACCCTAATCAGTTCAGCGCCTTAGCCATTGGCTTCACCATCATTGCCGGTGGCCACGCTGTAGGAGGTGTGTCTGGTGCAGCCCTCAATCCGGCCGTGGCACTGAGCTTGGGATCCACGAGTGGCAAAGAGCTTCATTGGCCTTGGCTTTGGTCCACCGCCGAACTCTTGGGAGGCGTGGTCGCTGCGGGACTCTTCCGCTTGCTCCGCCGGGAGGAGTTCGCAGAAGATGCCACAGACGAGGGCCTTGCAAAGCACGAAGCCGGGCTTGGCACGCGGTGTGGGGCAGAGCTGCTGGGAGCCTTCGTGCTAGCCCTGACGGTGGGCTTGAACTTGGTGGCCAAGTCTCCTGCCACCGCCTTCTCCGCGGCTGCGGCGCTTACCTGCATGATCTACTCGCTGGGCAACATCTCTGGCGCCCACCTCAATCCCGCCGTCACCATGGCCGTGTCTTTGCGTGGAAAGTGCACCGCACGTGATGCTGCTTGCTACATGCTTTGCCAGCTCTTTGGCGGCCTGCTGGCTGGGATTACTTTTGCCATCTTTCATATCAGCTCTGGGCAGGCCAAGATGTCCATCTGGCTTCAGCCAGGGAAGCACTACCAGGTATGGCAAGCATGCATGGCAGAAGCACTCTTCACCATGATCTTGGCCTATGTGGTGCTGACCGTGGCCACCACAGACATCCCGGCAGAGTGGAAAACAAAGCAGAATGCCTACTTTGGCCTTGCTATCGGCGCATGTGTCACGGTCGGCGGCTTTGCTTCGTCTGCCATCTCTGGCGGTGAGCTCAATCCGGCTGTGTCTTTGAGCATCTACACGGGCAACCTCGTGAATCCGGGACACGAAGGGGTCGGCCCAATCTCGAATCTCTTCCTCTTCATGCTGTCCGAAGTGCTCGGTGGTGCCCTGGCTGCTGGTGTCTTCCGTCTCACCCACGGCAGTCTTTCCAGAAACGCCGAAGCGGAGGCAAAGGACGCAGAAGCTCCGAGCTCAGAGCCCCAGAAGCCTCCGGCGGGAGACGAGGAGTACTGAGGAGTACTGATGCGACGGCAAAAAAGCCTGGGATCTTGGCAGAGTTGCGAGCGGGGTGAGCAGCTGTCGAGATGTTGTGTCTACACTGCTACACTTCAGACACCATCGGAGACGCCAGAAGCTCCCGGCCCGATCCTCGACGTCCCTCGAAGAGCCAGCTCAGCCAAGGCTGACCCGTCAAGAGCTGGTGGGACACCCAGGTGTAGAGGTCCGCACAGTTCAGTTCAACAGGGCATCTCGAGCCTGTATCGAGTTGTATCGGAAATTGCTGCTTAGGGCTTAGGGGCCTTAAGCTACTCCGAGGACAAACTTCTCTACAGCAGCCCCCTGCGCAGTTCCGAACCTCAGCTTGAGCTGCGCCGGCCAAGCAGCAGCTCTGCAAACCATGGAAGCCTGAGGTGAGCCCCGGGTCGTCTTCCAGAATCCTGCCCTGGCTCTCTTCCCAGATGGCTGCTGTAACACATTGCTTCGTTTTCACGACGGCTTCTCTTCCTGACGCCTCGATCCCAGCCATGGTCTGGCTTGGCTGATCCCACTTCTAGTCCTTGCGTGTCGTCCTTCGTCAAGCGTGGTCTCAGGCAGCACCCATCACCGTCGAACAGGAGGCGCACCAGACATAGAGGATAAATAGGTAGATAAAGATCACCGCATGGTGGCGGACATAGGTGTCAGAGGACCAGGTGGCAGAAGTAAAGCAGGCCTTCGATTCGGAACATCTGCTGTGACTGCTCGCCAGGTGGAGAAAGACCGGAGTGCTCTCACCCCAGCCCACAGTGCTGATGTGCACAAGCTTTCGAAGGGTACTGTACGGGCCGGGAGTAGCCGAGGGCGAAGATTCCACAGGCTGCATTGTCTGGCGGCGATCTGAACCGTGTCGTGAGTCACAGATGCTTGACGGCAGCACTCGGTAGCTAACGCTCAAGGCCTTCTGCCCACTCGATGTGCGCGCACTTGTGCGTGAGCACCTTACAGAGCCTCATCCGCATCCTCGGAAGCCCCGAAGGGGGTCTGCAACGCGTTCTTGCAGCGCATCCGGGCCGTTGTAGTGACTCCATAGGGCCACAGGGTCGCAACAGGTCTTAGTCTTGCTTAACAATGTCATCCATCTAATCTCATTCCGGCAGTGTATTGAGGCTGAACCGTTGGCATCAACAGCAAGCCGCAAGCCTTTATGTCACGAGTCTGATTACATCACGCAAAATGGTAGTACCTAATCGAAAGCATCTCTGTTGCAGAAGTTGAGATCACTTCTGTCCTACGCTTGGCACAAACCTCGGTCACACCCTGCCGATCCTCGTCTCTGCGTGCCGGAACTGCTCATGACCGGCTGGTGCTAGCCGTTAGTGCTACAGTAATCAACCCAGGCCCACCCGGAGTTGGTGCGCGGCAAGCGGGTCGTGGAACTAGGTGCAGCAGTGGTCGGGTTTGTCGGGAAAGCGCCAGAAATTGTGCCTTTGTGTCAGGGTCCCAAACTAATTAACCGCCCCCGCATTGTACTTTCTTGAAGCTAATGTTGAGAAGAGACGAGCTTCTGTGCGTAGCTGTGTAGGCACTGCGCTCATTGCGACCGAAGGACAGAGAAGCTGACCTGAACCTCAGCTAGGTAGCAAGAACAACCTGAGGATCGTACCAGCACCAGCACCAGCACCGGGACCAGCAGCAGCAGCAGCACCACCACCACAACCAGAACCACCATGACTATGACCATCACTGTGACCATGACAATGACACTAAGCACCACTAACAACAGAAACAACCACAACCACAACCACAACCACAACCACAACAACAACAACAACGGCGCAACCAACCACGATGACGATCATGACTAATCCCGTTCTCTCTGTGTCAACAGGCCCGGCAACAACAGCAGGAACAGGCACATCTTAGAATCGACGACCACCGACCTCCCGATTTGTAATAGTAGTGTACCTGTACATGTACTCGCACGGCGACGACGACTGCTACTACCTCTTCTTCCACTTCTACTGCAACCTGCACGATCACCCCACCAGCAACCAACTACAAGAACAACAGCAACACTGGAAATGTTTACAACCCAGCACAATATAGTCCAGACCAACGCGAGGTGCCGGCACTGGACTCGTCGGTTTGGTTTGTGCTGCGTTGGGTGCCTCCGAAGTGGCGCCCTTGCGTGTTACCAGCATTGCTGTCAAAATCCAAAGTTGGTGGTTGACAGGTACTGACAGATCTGTCACAGGGACTCCCACTTTTAAAGCGGAATGTGCAGCTGAACTTGGGCGCACTTTGCGATGGCCTCTTGTCTACACCCTTCGGCCGAGCAAGTTGCTTTCACATCTTCCCTTTTTCGGCTTCCCAGGTGGACATTCCACCTCCGTAGCTGAATTGAAGTGGGGCCGAGAGGCGGGCGATTAGACACAAACACGACGATCCCGTCTCTCGTGCAGAGTCTACTCGCAGATGTTGCACGGTTTCACCATTCAGTGACCGGTCCTGTGCAGTCTTTGAGAGCGGGCCCCCTTTTTTCAAGTGTTTGATCTGGATGTTGCACTTGTCGAGTGACACGGCCATACCATGTCCAGGCTTCTGTGCAAGTTGCGCCGAGCCCTCGTAGCGTCTGGGCGACTGACGTGTGCCTCGAGAGCCTTTGACTGCAAGGGGAATTGCTCCAGGCCCACAGGCTGTGACATCGTGATTGGGTGCTGGCTGCTCAGCGGCTTTCTGTCGGCGAGACTGAAATGAAGCCTCGGGGTCTCTGCCTTGTCAGGTGAAGTCATCTACCAGCATGACGACGAAACGGCTGTTGCCTTGGTGGAGACGATGCGGCATTTGGCTGGCAAGGCTCGATTTCATAGCTCCCGCATGAACTATCGAGAGAGGAAAGAACCCCAGAAAAGAGTGCTAACGTCACAGGACGGCTTTTGCCTGATGGCATACGAGTTTCGAGACGGACTGATGCAGGCCTATGGACCCACAGCTCGTTGCGGCATTGATTTGCGTAGCCTTAGAATAGGGCCATGTCGTCTGCAGTTGTTTTTTTCTCTTGCTTCGTGTTGCTAGTACCATGTTGAACTGCATCACAAGTTTTGCTGTCGCTGCATTTTTGGCCGGATCTAGCCGCAGCCCGGAGCAGCTTCTCTTTTGACCGCTACCAGTGCTCCTCGTTCTACATTTCAGCACTGACATTTGAGTGAGGCGTTGCATTGCTGGTTCCATCTGGCAACTTGTGTTGCCTTCTGAGGTTAAGGTTCCACGAAACCATGCTCTTCAGCGTCCTTTCCTTGCAAATTGCGACTTGGTGGTCTTCGTTTGTGAATTGAATTCTCAACCGAAACTGGGCATTCAGCTTAGGTATTCCTACGGTTGGCGTTGGCCGCCCAGTCCGGCGTGGCGCCTTTGGATGCAGATGACGAGTGTGTCGACTCGTTTGCAGGCTGAAAGCATTCACAAGTTCGCGATTGCCGACGTTTAAGCGTCGAGTTAGCCTACCACCTGGCAGGGAGCTGCAGCCTCACTGCGCTGCAAACCCGATCGCAAGTTGAACGTGGGGACCCACCGCCGGCACTGCGCTCAGAGCGGCTGACCGATATCACAGACTTCTTCCGCGAATCAGTGGGGACGACACTTTCTGCCGACTGCCCTACCTACAGCCACCCCCTCATTCGTAGGTGGCAGGTAGTAGCCACTAGATAGTAGCCGCAGGTGGCAGGTAGTAAGTAGGTAGTATGTAGCGGTAGTAGTAGTCGTCGACGTCGTCTTCGTAGCAGCAGTAGCAGTAGCAGTGGTAGTGGCAGTGGCAGTGGCAGTGGCAATAGCAGCAACAGTAGTCGTCGTAGTGGTGGTGGTGGTAGTAGTGGCAAAAAGGAAGGATTAGTAAGGGTCAGCAACAGTAGTCGTCGTAGTGGTAGTGTTAGTGGTGGTGGTGGTGGTGGTAGTGGCAAAAGGAAGGATTAGTAAGGGGAGGTAGTAGTGACAGTAGCAGAGTCGTGGTAATGGTAGTCGGAGTCGCAGTGGCAGTGGCAGTAGCAGCAGTTTTGGGGGTTGTCCTATTTGGTTGTCGGCGTCCACATGGTTTCCTGATGAAGCCTTGCTGGGCCCCGCGGGGGCCACCCTATCAATGTTTTGATCTTTCTCTCCTGATACTTCCTGTGTTCGAGCTGTTCTTTGCTTGTCGAGCTCTGCACCGTGTGGTCATGGTGGTGGCGAGCAGCAGCTGAACACTTTCTTCCACGATGTCCTGTTTGGTCGTAGTTTCAGCAACCGTGTGCACATCTAGCTCTTCAGCCGAAGCACACAAGAAGCCCGAAATCCTCGGTCGCTGGATTTGCCCCTGGCGCGCCCAGCTACCGAGAACCTGAGGCCAATGTGTCGGCAGGACAGCCTGGACTGGTGTTTCTCGGCAGAGACACCAAGCCCAGAAGCTTTCTGTAGCGAACGTTTGTTTGGTCAGCTTGCCTATGCAGGTATGCTGTCTACACCTATGGTGCAGTGGCAATCAGCAAAACACCTTTGGCAGATCGGTCCACACCGAGCGGGAACTTCCGAGGAGTTCGCTGCTACAGTGAGACGATCTTGACCGACACATTGCGGCAGACGGATATTGCGGCGATCTTCATGGGACTCAGCCATCCACGGGTGCCCACGTTGGCGCTGCATAAGCAGAAGGATTCCGAGTAGCTCAGCTGCGACGGAAGGCAGTGGCTTTTCTTGCAGGTGTTCGTGGGGCATGTTCGTGCGAATGTAGTCGCCATGTCAATGTAGCAACGATGGCAAACGCCGAAAGGAGTCGCCAATATCCATGGCAGGCGCATGTTCTTGATCGTTTCTATGATCCTGTCGAGCCTCTCCATTCTTAATAAAGACTGGGTTGCTTTGAAGCGCCGAGGTATTGGCCGGGAGCGGGACGGCCAGACCTGCCCAAGCATGTGGATCAGGGCCGGACGGCTAACATCGGCCTTCATGACATGAAGAACTACATTGAGCGCCTCGCCCATTTGCAGCTTCACGGCCAAAATGTAGCGCAGAACAAGCCTTTCAATTTTGCCCATCACTTCGCCTTTTTGGCTTGGGGCGCCTACGAAAAGCAGAAGTCCTGGGTTACAGGCACGGATGTGACAATGGAGCAAATCATCGCCCACGACGTGCCCGGCTGGAATCTCGTTGCACAAACACAGCAGGACACACTTGAAGCTGTTGACAACATCTGGCTCGTCCAGAACACAAAGAGCCTGGATTGCGTCATCGCCTTCGAGGGCACCCACTCGTTTCAGGAATTCTTTGGCAACTTAAAGGGCGAAGAAAAGAAATCGGGGTATTGTGGGCTCCCGGGCGTGCACACGGGCTATGCTGACAAGCTGTACTGGCTCATGAAGTACAGCATGCCCAAGTTGCGACCGAATCTTGCCAAGTGCAACAAGGCCGGGACGGATCAAATTCTGCCTTAGCGTAAGCTAAGACAAGTCGTCCAATGCAGAGTGCCGGAGCAGCACTGTCTTTAAGAAACCTTCGAGGGACTCAGAGGCATGGGATTTCTCGAGTCTCCATACTAGAATGTCCGTCTATGTTCGGGTGCTGATGCGTTCGGGTTTCCATGTGAAGCCTGAGCCGTGTGGCACTGTGCCCAACAATTAAGAGCTGCAAGTTAGAGCATGCCATTTCCAGACCTTGAGGTCCGACAGCCAAGCACACCGTAAAGCGACAGTTTGCCCAACATTTCCGTGCACAGGTGAGCTGCACAGGCCATTCCCTGGGTGGCTCCTTGTGCGAAGTCGGCTGCCGAGCTCGGTGTGTAAGCCGCGGGGCTGTGCGCCAGAGGGAGAGATGCCACTGTACCGAAAAGATCCTGACAAAGGTCTTCGCTGCATGCGCAAACTCCGGGCATATCCACGACGGCCACTACAAGGCTCGGGCGGACATGATACAGCGGGAGAGGCAACGTTTCCTTTGCCGAGCTCGGTAGACTAATAGCGCCTACAACAATCCAATTGGAGTCATTAGATTCCTTAGATTCTAGATTATGCCCAAATCCGACATCCGCTCCTGCACTTCAAGAACCAACTTGTGGGTTGTCCTGTGCCTGTACGAAGCGGCTGTGCCCAGTTGCAGACCTGGACGACCGGAACGCCTTGGCCCCAGGATCTGCAAGGGCCAGGGCAGTTAGATGCGGTCGGCCATGCGTGGAATCCACGGTGGTTTTTAACTTTTGTTTGCTTACTATTACCATCTATTACCATCTTTTTATTTGTTTACTATTATCATCTATTACCATCTTTGTGTTTGTTTACTATTACCATCTGTTATCATCTATTACCCTTACCATCACCTTTATCATGAGCAAGGTTGCACTGGGTTTAGTGCGGTAGAAGGGGGCTGGGCTGGGGCATCCTGGCCCTGCTGACGGAGATAGGCTCTTGAAGAAGGTGTACATTGTTGGTAAAGTAGTACAGTAGAAATACAGTCGTAGTACAGCTGTAGTACGGCAGTAGCAGAGCGGTAGTACAATAATAGTACAGTAGTAGTACATGAGTAACCCTGGAGAAGTACAGCAGTAGTACTGCTGGCGCGGTAGCACCATAGGGTTTAGGGCGCAGGGGTGACTAGGGCTGTTTACGGGGTGGCTTAGGTGGCCCCCTCAACATCAAACTTCAGGGCTTCTTTTTTTTATCGTCTCCCCAGTCAACATTGAGAGAAGAAAAAGAGAAAAGACAACGGCGGGCGAAAACCGCAGGCATTAAAGACGACAGCCAAAAATACAGTGCCACATCCTGATTAATCTGGAACATATAAAAAAGGGGGTCATCTAAGTATACCCAGTGCAACTTTAGGACTACCATGACCATCGTTGTCATCATGATGACCACTATCACTGCTAGTCATGTTCATTACTAATATGCTTATGATGCTTGATATTAGGGCCATTAGTTATTCCTAAAGCTTCATGATTGCCCCACTTACTTGCAATTTGCCTTTCACATGTGCTAGATGAGGCCTGAGCTGATGCCGAAGATGAAGCAGATGGCCCTGTCCAGACACAACAAATGACTTGCTCGTTCGTGGAACCGTGCAAAGTCTTCGGGATGGCAGGTTGGGCAACTGTTGAGGTGATCCCTGAATACTCTGCTGGGTGAGGATCTAGTATTTCGCTCGGTAAAATCTAGTGAATATTTACTGAACTCTGATGGAAGCCGGCGGAGATCTGTGAGCATTCAGTGAAGACTATAGGTACCAGATGAGCAGCACTCTGGTGATAATGCTTTTCGTTTTCCCGATGTTTTGATGCTTTGGTTGCCTCACAACTGTTCACTGCTTTTGTTCGGTTCCTTTCTTCCCGGTCGACCCTAGCAGATCCTAGGAAAGCAAACGTTAGGAAATCCGATGATGCCTTGACGAAGCCGAGGAAAGCGTACCACATCCGGAATTTAGGGCAGAAGGGAAGTAGTGGGCAAGATAATGACGAAGCCATGAACAAGTCAAGCCGATGAATCAGTTGACCCTCACGAAGATATGTATTATAGAACAAGTTACTAGAACGTGCTACACATAATGAACGTTCAGTGCACAAAACAAGCAGCGAAGCCCACCGGCCCGCCACAAAATCACCGATGTTCCACAACTCGGATCACTAGGATATCGGTGGATGATCATACAACCCAGCCACTCCCATCCTGCAGCGGAGTCCTTTTCATCCTTACCGACTTGCCCAACAGCGGCAAGTGCGAGCCTTCTATGCCGGCATAAAATCTTTGGTGGCCCTCGCTGCAGTCCAGCTTTTTGAACCCTTTACGTAATTCCAGTTGCCGACTTGCCTCTTGTTCCGTCATGTCAGGGGTTTAGCGATCACCGTGCGAGGGCTTGGCGCAATGAACCTCAGACTCAGCATGCCCTCATGCAGATGGTGTGTGCTCCTGGCTGCGGTGACCGATATCTTGTTGCTAGTGTACTTCGGTCGCATGATTGCCGTCGGTACACTTCTGATTATGACGGTGATGAATGTCAGTACTTTAGGAACAGTATCTCAGTATGCCATCACGACATCTATCGCTGCTGTCGCTGCCAGGATGCGGTGTTCTTCGATGCTGCGAACGATGTATTCGAGGTGCCCGGTCTGCGGACAAGCACCCAAAAACATGAAACCCTGATCTCAGGTTTTCAGCATGAAGCTGTAGTCAATGAAACTTTTCTTGCAGATCCCTACCCAACGTGATAGGGTCTAAATGCTAGACATGCGCACTGAGACGCCTCGCCCGGATTGCCCAAGTTGTGAGAGTCAAGAACCCGAAACCCTTGCGCCAACCATAATAGGAAGGACAGGAAGCAAGCACAAGTTGCACCAGTAGGGCACACGTGCTTGTCAGGTATCCGCAGAGTCTCTGGCACACTACGGCTTTGGTCTTTCGGCCCAGGACAGGAAACTGCACGACTTTTCAAGAATGGCTCAGATATGCTGCAGTGTCAGCTCTTTGTATGATTGGATCTCGATCTCGCCGGCTACTTATCATAATAATACCATTATTCAACACTTGGTGTTATGGGCTTCCCTGAGCTCCGAGTAGTGACTGAGTAGTGTACCGCGCCACACGATGTCCGAGTGGAGAGTGAAGGACAGCGACGACAGATTGCTGTACACCTACCGAGCCAAGGCTTTCTTTGTGACTGCATTGAATTCGGATCCTGGAGGTCGGGGCATGATCTGAGGTTCATCGACCTGAGCAGGTGCAAGAGCCTTGATGGAGGAGTTCGAGTCTGAGGCCGTGGTCGCGAGGCGAAAAGGCCGCATTCGTGGAGGCCATCAGCCAGTGAGACTTCAGCAAGTTTCCGCTTGACTGGCCTGCCGCATCACGCTCTTGCGATTGCTCTGGTGTCTTTTGTGTATTGTTTTTGCTGCTTGCACTCCCATTTGAACAGTGACGTTTCAAAATCTTCGCTTGCTCTCTCCATGTCGTGCTGCCTGCGCCTGCCTGTGCCAGCCTGCCAGTGATGTCTGTCTGCTTGTTAGTCTGTCTGTTTGTGTTTATGAACGTATCTCTGTTGCAGAGAGAGGCAGCTAGACAAGGAGGGAAGCTCTCTGTCTGCCTACCTACATCTGAGTGTGCATACAGTTAGATTCGATCGCTAATACAAGTAAGACACATACGTACACTCTCACACACGCACACACAGAGTGCGCGCGCGCGAGCGCGGGTGTGTTTGTGTGTGTGTGTGTGTTTTGTATGGAGTGCCTAGTTGTTGCCATGTCTTCAAAACTGGTTTCGCTTCTTGATGCCTTTTTTGTTGGGCAGGCTTGGGGGCACGGAAGCGACCCGGCAGGAAGGAAGTAGAAAGAAGGATCGAAAGAAAGACTGAGAGGCAGGAAAGAGGGTCTTGTTTTTTTTTTTGGCCTGGGGCTGGCAGGATCCTGTTTTGCGTCAAGCTATCAGAAGACTTGCCATTTGCAGAGTCTTCGTTGGGTTAAGCTATTGGGGGAATGCTGTCTGCAGGGTCTTGTTTTTTGTGTCGGGATATTGAGAACTCCAACGCGTGATGCTGTTGAGGAACTCCCGCACACTGTCGAGGTCTACTATGCACAAGTAGGAAGTCTCCAATAGCTTGACACAGCCGAGACCCTGCAAATAGCCTGTCCCCGAAATGAAATTGTATTATATTATATTATATTGTATTATATTGTACTATATTGTATTATATTGTATCATATTGTATTATATTTTATTTTAACTTGCGCGCAGAACAGGATCCTGCCGGGCTCCAGGCAATAGAAATTGCCAAACAAGCCAGGCAACCCGCGGAAAAGACACTCCACCCGTTCTGGTATGTCCCTGTAACTGTCATGCAACCGTGTGCATTCATCTTAGTCCACGTTTACATTGCCTACATGCAGCAAGCAGGTAGTTACTGGTTTTTATGCATGCATTGGAGACAGGAGAAGAAGGCCGGAGTGGACTCGCTGATGGCTGTGGCCCACGGGAGCCGGCTCGGGCCTCGTGCTGTTGGAGGTTTCACCTCTGGTAGGGTGCTGAGGGGTTCCGGATGTACGGTTCGTAGTGAAGTCTGAGCACAGGGTCTGGTGTTTAGAGAGGGACTGGAGCAGCTTGTGGGTTGGTGGGGAGGGGGAAGGCAATTTCATTCTTTAAACTAGCGAGTTTTGTTGGAATTTTTGTTCGTTTGCGACGTCTTCGTTTGAGGGAGCGGGCTGGGCCTGGGGGCCCTGCCCGCACATGGGTTGGGGCCAGGGAAGGGGGCAGGGGGGGCAGGGAGGAGTTCAACTTGAGGAGGCTTACCACAGACCAGATTGAGCAATCAACCTCAAGGCTACCTTAGCCATGTGCAGCATTCCTCTCTCTCCGGAGTCGCGGTCTGGCAAATTTGGAGGTTGAAGCCAAGAAGCGGTTTCCCTCTCTTTGGTCTGTGTTGTTATGCACATGATTTACTCCAGACGTGAGGGTTTCCTCTCTGCGGTTGGCTTGGTGGCTGCTTTGCGGCATGTTTCGTAGCTCAGTGTTTTCCGATGCACCTTTCCGAGTTTTGAGAGCCAACTCACCGGCATGCATGCCTGTAGGCAGATCTCTTTGTCTGCCCGGCTGACTGCCTGCACGCAATAGTTCAGGCATGGACACTTGCAGAAATAGAGTGCACATTGATGGAAGTGTGTGCACAACATGACATAACCGTAGGCGGCCATATCAAGCCAGTCTTCTGTAGAATGCTCTTGCTGGCCCAACTTACCGCCAGGTCCTAAGCTGAGCGAGCCGACGACACCTTGTGTGCTCCTTGCCGTCGTTGCTGAAACGAAGATAAAAGAAAGCATGCCATTTTCGTTGATTTTCAGTTGAGTTGGTCCAGGGCCAAAAAGGCTTGAGCAGGCAAGGGTAACCATGGATAAGCTCCGAGAGCCATTCAGGGATGCGCTTAAAATTGGGGTGCAAACAGACAGCCCACTGTATTAGGCAGAATTGAGCACACAAGTGCTTATTTGCGGGCATTCACTTTGACTCTGCGGGCGTGATTGCAATACGCGTTGCGCACGAAACGTCGCAGTTTGCCTCTGAGGGGCTAGCCGTGCCTGCGACTGAAGGTCATGTGCTCCGAGGTGGGAGTCTTCGCATGAGGTCGAAGAATCATGCCTAGCTTAGTGGGAGCAGGGCGACGCTTTGCCTTGTCATATCTACTTATCTCAAGACCAGAAAGAGAAACATACGCTTTCACAAGTCAGCACACCCGAACTGGGTCTCTAAGTTCGCAGTCGGTTACGACTACTGCAGGGTAAACATTGCTTTTGTTAAGATGCATGTGCCTAACAAAAAGCTGCATGATGCTTCTGATAATGTGTATAGCCAGTTATAGGTAGCAATACAAGTAGATATGTACGCAAAGTATGCGTATATGTATATGTATATAAACATGTGTAAAATATACATAGAGACAGATACTCTATATATATATATATATGCACATTCACTCACTCACTCACTCACTCACTCTTTCACTCACTCTTGTCTCTCTATCTCTCTCTGTGTCTCTCTGTCTCTCTGTGGCACTGCACCTTTTGGAGCTTGTGTGTGTGCCCAGGGGAATCGCACTCTGCACAGCGGGGATCGGGTGTAATCTGTCACATGTTGCGATATATCGCTGCATTGAAGAATAGCAGCCGCAGGTGTTTGTGTGCTTGACATGTTGCCCAACGCAGAACGCATAAAACGAGCAGCGATTGCCTGAGCCTGAAGAATGAAGCCATTGGCAAGTGTCGCCACGTCGATCTTCGGTCTGGGTCTCGCGGAAGAGTCGGGCAATTTGGCTGATCTCTTTGGTTGGTTGCCTCGTCAGCCCAAAGAAACGTTAACAGCCGGCCTTCACATGCCATGCTGCCGTGCCACATTTGAGTTGACATTTGCATGCTGCATGCCCATATTCACATGCGACAGGTAGCCCAACACACAGAGCCTGGCAGGCTTCTGCTGGTACGACGTGTTTTTTTAACCGCACATCGAACAAAACAATCGGCAGAAAAGAAAGTGCTAACCATGGGGCATACACCGAGAAGAAGCACGAAATGACAATAGCACAGGAGAAGTGCCTTGTAAGGGCCAAGGGCATTACCTTTTGCAGACAGGTGCTTTTGCCAAAAGAGCTTCCTACCAAATAATGTCCTGCTTCAGTGGGCACCTGCTTGGCTTGGAGATCTAGTATCGGGCAGGCTGTGCTTGCTTGGTCAGATGTGACGCACCTGATACGCGTGGTAAGTTGGTGACACTTGGGCGTCGTCTTCTCATTGCTCAAACTTGCCTGCCCACGTCATCCCTCAGCTCAGTGGTGATTCTTGTTGAGCTATGTTTTTTACCGCCGAACCCATTGAGGCTGGTGCGGGGACAGCTTGGGCGGGAGTGTGGGAGCCTTGCACTGGTCATGATGTGACGCGTGTGCAGGCCTCAGCCGCCCTCGCTCCGAGCTGGGCCGTCCAGCGCCTACAGGTCCTGTCGAGCCTCACCTGGGCACGGGAACGGAACCCCCCCTTGTACATTGCACAGCAATCACGATGATAAGACGGCTGAAGACAAGTAGATCGACAAGGAGACGGACGACAATGATGCTCATGACACACACACAGAGATACATGTATATATATATATATATGTTTCTATAAATATAAAAATATATTGGAAGATGCTGGAGGCCGGAGCCAGTGAGCTTGGGCGAGGCATGGCTTCGTTTGGAGGCCAGAGCTGCCCTGGAAATTCTTGCCCGGCTCTTTGTGCCCCAGCCGGAGGCTTGCAAGATGTCCAGAAGTCTCCAGATCAGCCTCGGGCTGCAGTGATCTCGTGGCGCAGCGCCGTGTGTCTTTCTTTCACACTTAGATCCCATGAAGCTCCTGGTCGTCGTGTCAGCCACAGCCTTAAAGATCCACAAAGGGAAGAAATAATTTCGTCCGACTGATCTTTCAGCAGGCAGGGGCTTCCTTTCTCCTGGCTTGGCGGCAGCGGCGGCAGCGACCCGAGTTGAACAACGCGCATAAGATGGCATTGCATCAGCAGCTTCGGTTAATGTTCGTGATGGCCACTGGCTTATTTCGAGGTATCCGATCGTTTCGACAATGGGGTGGTGCAATGGGCTGCGTCTGAGGCGTATCCCACTCGCAGAGTTTCGGCCATCCAGGTGTTAGAGGACTCCGAAAGGCCGGAAGAGGCAGTGGAGGCATGTACACGTCAGAACAGAGGAGGACTCCGAAAGCGAAGCCACGTTTTGCGGGCCGTGTCCCAAGTCTGGGACCCCAGACTTACAGCACGGCAGCTTTCTTGCGCAACTACCAGAGCCTGCGAGGTCCGAGGACGACGAAGCAGCAATTGCTTCAGAGATCTACCTGCTCCAGGTCCCTCTCCCTGCAAGGAAAACAGACTCCCATGGCAACTTGATAAGATGCTAGACTGCGAAATTGTGAGACCCCTGCGAGGCCTGGGAGCTGGGCCCGTTCCAAGGCAAAGAAGTAAGGCCTGCGGTCGTAAATCTGTTCCTTGATCTTCGTTTGAGCCTTCGGTTGCGAAGGATTCGCAAAGACAGCTACAGAGTGCATCGGGAGCAGGCCCCACCAAGCGGCCGAGCCAAAGCTTACGTAGAAGCTGATCTCCGTTTCGTGGGAGTCCGTCACGCTTCAGGTCGCCCGACGAGGGTTGCACTGCTTCGTGCAGCCGCCGGGCGATGCGGAAGGCACGGACACACGCATTGCTTGCCCTTTGTTTCATGCTGCACTGGCTGCCAGGGGAGTACCAGATCTTCGAAGGCTTCTTCGTTGTGGGCGAGGGCTCCAGCTACAAAAGTGGCTTAGGGCTTGAGCAAGATCGTGACGAGTTGGCGGGCCCGCAGTGCTCGTCTGCTGAGGTGTAGTTGCAAAGAGATTGAGAACCTGCTAAGGCATAGAGCACGACCACACCTTCAAAGTGGCGAACAGAATCATCGGCAAGGTCGTTGGATGTTGCCGGCGGTCGGGCTGTGTGGTTTTGAATGTTTGGACAGTTCGGGCAGGATGGCTGGAACATGAGGAGCATCAGCTCTGCATGCAATGCCAAGGCCGACGAAAGATACGGAAAGGTGACACAACATGTTGATGATGGGGTGTCCGGAAGGTTCGCCTGCGCGGCAGGGGCAGCTCTTTCCTGGAGCGCGGTGAAGAGGTGTGCTCGACAGCTTGTGGCCAAAAAAGCCCCGTTAGATGCTGCTTGGAACATGCAGGCCGACATCCCATTGCAGATAGACATTATCTGCACTTGCTTTCCAGACTACGCGAACGCCTCAGTGTCACTGTTTCGGAACGTGCGGGTCGTTGGGTCTGTCGAAACCGATGTATCTGCTACGGTTTCTGTTGGTGGTGTTGGCGGTGTGGGACGAGGTTGGTCACGCTAGTGGCGGCGGGTGGTCGTTGGTGGTGGGTTGTGGTTGTTGCCGCTTGGTGGTTTCCTCGCGGCCGCGAAAGTTGAAAGGATTTGAAAGGTAATGTCGAGGTCGTTCTTTGCATTCGTACTCCGAAGCTTCGAGCACATCTTTAACTGAAGCGAGTTGTTGGTGTCATGTCTCGAACATTTTTCTTTGGTTTTCCTGTCGGCACATCCCAACTTTCAGGCGGCACTGGTTTAGGCATGGCACATCTCAAAATGTGCCCGCCAAGCGCAGAGCCAACTCGCACCGCATTCAGTTGAACAAAACTGTTGTTGTGATTGTGTGTGTTGTGGTTGTCGTTGTGCTTTCGGTGGTTGCCATTGTCAAAATGTTTTTATAATTTATAATTGTATTCTGCTAGACTCGTTGTTGTGTTCTGTAGTGCTGCTCGGTACTGAGGGCGCATCCCAATTTCACATGCCAGTGGCCGGAGCAACGTCTGCTTCTGTTCTCAATGGGGTGGAGCTGCTGGAAGCCAGGTTCCAAGACAATGTCTTCATGAATACTGAGCTAAGACAGCTGGTTGCCAGCTGCTTCCGAAGCAGCAGCCGGTTCCCCACGGCACCGAGTCTACTGAGAATGCATGTCGCCACAACGTGCTATGAATTTGAACTGACATTTGCCTGCCTGCAAAAGGATAGCTGCATGTCATCTCTGCCGGCTCTCTTTCCGAATCGTCTGCATTTTGTTCCACATGCCGTGGAATGCGATATGCGACGACCCTTCCACATCCTTCCACATCGATGTCGGGACACGAGAAGCTGAAAGAGTTGCAAGAGTTGGGCTGTTGAATCGACACACCGATGGGGTTCCTGCATCACAGTGGTGACGAGGGGTGGCACAGTGACTGTGGGCTGTGTTGCTGTTGCTGCTGATCACGCATCCGTGCTTGACTAGCCACACTGCCCCCCGTTCATGTTGCTTCTTGAGCTGAGCAGGTGGCTGCCGTGGATGAGGTGTGGATCTCATTCTGTGCGTTGCCATGTGTGCAGATCCTCAGATCTTTGGCAGAGACGTGATTACATGCATACCGGCATACCATCAGGTAGCCACCCTGCTCCGAGAGCTATACAAGAACTATAGGCGCGAGAGATCGGAGAAGTTTAGAATTTAGACTAAAATGGTTTAACCCTGTTGATGCAGGCGCCATTGCCGATCCGCCGGCATGGAAACATCAGATTCCATCTCAGCTTGTGGCATCCAGAAAGCCGAGATGCAGTGATTATTTTGTCTACCCCGAGATGATTTTTCGCAGAATCGTCAAAGCCGACGTTTCCTAAGTCCGAGGTGTCTCTTTGCTTCCATGAAGTCCGACGACCGGACCTGCTCTTCTGGCTCCCGGCCTCAGCCTCAGCCCGAAACTGCGACACGTTAGCAGTGGTAGTGGTGGTACTGGTGGCAGTAATAGTGGAAGTGACAGTAGTGCAGTGGTGATGGTGGTGACAGTCAGTGATAGTGGTACTGCCGGTAGCAGTAGCACCAGCCATAGCAGCAGCAGGAGCAGCAGCAGTAGTAGCAGTGGCGGTGGCAGCAGCAGTGGCAGCAGTGGCAGCAGTGGCAGCAGCAGCAGTAGCAGTAGTCGTCGTCGCAGTGGTCGTTGTAGCCGTGACATTCGCCATCGTCGTAGTGTTAGTAGTTGCAGCAGTAGTAAGCAGTAGTAGCAGCAGCAGCAGCAGTAGTAGTACTAGTGGTAGTGGCAGTTTTAGTGGTGGAGGTAGTAGTAGTAGTAGTAGTAGTAGTAGTAGGTGTAAGTAGTAGTTAGTCGTAGCACTTTCAGTAGTAGTAGCACTAGTAGTATCAATTTTTAGTTGTAGCGGGGCAGATTTGGATACATACTGCTGTTCTGGTAAAAGACTGTTCGCAAGCAGTGGTAATGAGTAGTAACGAGAACGAGCGCAGCAATGCAGGCTCCTTCTGTCTCTCAACTCTGGAAGCCGATTGCATTTCCATTCGGTGCCGCGGCCTCGTCCTGCCGGGTACGATTCTTGCGGATGTTTACATCGTCAATGTCTTTTGCCCGTGCTGACTGCTGCTACCATGTGACGGCTGCTTCCTCCTACTCCTGCTGCTATGACATAGACGACTACTACTACGACGATGTGTGTGACTGCGGCTGCTGCTGCTGCTACTTCTAATACTGCGAAAAATGTCAGTTACTAAATACAACGACTCCTACTACCACTACTACTAACTAACTACCCGGTTTCTCTTTTTGCATTGATGACGTAGTCTCCTGTGGGTGGTACTCCGAATGAATACGAATACGAACTGTGCACAACCAGTTGGGGCTGCATCAAGCCTGGCAGACAGTATGTGCTTGCATATGTCGACGATTTGCTGGTCGTAGGGACTGACGAAATGAGGAAATCGTTCATGTCCCAGCTTTCTGAAGAAGTGTTGCTCAAAGAGACTGGCCAGCTAGCGCCAGGGACTGATCGCATTTTCCTTGGGAGGCGAAGGCACACAATGGTGATTCGATTGATGTGTGCACGTCGCAAGCATACATCGACTCTATCCTGGAGTTGTATTTCATGAAGAATGTTCCAGCCTGTGGCAACGGCAACTGCCACAACTGCCAAGACTGTTCCTGACACGCCACTGAGCTCTGAGGGGCACTCAGTGTACAGGACAGCAGTTGGCGTGAAATGGGCAAACTAAGAAGTTTTTGGTGACGGCGCCTGTATGCGCCTATGCGTTTTTGCAGGTTTCAGGGTTAGGGTGGGGGGAAGGGGGGTGGGTGGGGGGGGGGGTGGGCTTAATAGCGTCCGGCCGTCACATATCCTCTCGATCGGGCCCTCAATCTAAGCCTAGGTTTAGGGTTTTGAGTTTCGGATGCCACCAGAAAGATGATGGTGATGGTGAACATGATGAAGATGATGATGATGCTGCTGATGATGATGATGATGATGAAGTATCTCGGCCCAAGCAAGCTGAACCAAGGCCCCCCGAAACATCG